GGATGGGGGTTGGGGGGAAGCTGGCTCAGCACATTCTGTCCTGGCCCAGAGCACAAGGCCCACTCTTCCGTCCCCATGTGGCAGGTATGCTGTGAGTTCCGCCAGGTGCCAGATGTGGTTCTTGGGAGGGGGCAGGCCTGACCACAGCAACATAAAGCACAGTGTACACAGCGCCTGCCAGTGAGCAGTCAGTCGCCTAGGCGAGAGCAAAGGTGGCCTGCAGTGGTGCTTTGAGTGAGATCTTGATACATTTGGGAGAGGCAGCTGCTCCCCAGAGGCAGGTCCCCCTGCCCTGGCTGCAGAGAGTCCTGGGAGCTGTTTGCAGTCTGAGGACAAGCCAGAACAGTGCAGGCCCCACTTTCGAGGGACACTAGTCGAATGACAGCAGGGGACTTTCTGCAGGAACCCTAGAAGCATTTCCTGCCTCCCACCAGGACCACTATGGAGAGGCCTGAGCTGCAGTGGCCTTCCTCTCTCCCAGCAGAGTCACTGCCAGGCTGCAGGCACTTGTAGGAATCTGGGGTGCACAGGCTGGGGCTCCTAGGTGGGCTGGGGTGGGATGGCACAATGGTGGTGGCTGCCCGGGAGGTCTTGCTCAGCCAGTCCCCTTGTCGTTGCAGACTGTGCGGGGTGCAAGGAGGAGATCAAGCACGGACAGTCGCTCCTGGCGCTGGACAAGCAGTGGCACGTGAGCTGCTTCAAATGCCAGACCTGCAGCGTCATCCTCACCGGGGAGTACATCAGCAAGTGGGTCTCCCGCCCCTCCCCTCCCCTGCCAGGCCTGCTGCTCTGGGCCCCCTCCTTGATCTCCAAAGCACCCCTCCATTTCCATAGGGCACAGAGGTCATCGCAGCCTCCCCCCTTTTCTTCTGCCTGGGATGTTCTTCTCCCGCCTTCGAGCAGCCTGTTTGCTCCCTCGCTGCCCCCTGGTTCTGGGTCCCAGGATTCTCCTCCAACTGGCCTCACACTGTCTCCCTCTTACCACCCCAACCTCACTGCAGGCCCTCCCCGGGCCCTGTTCACATCCTTCATGTGGGCGAGAGTGATACATTTATCTGTTTACTTTTTAATAATGAGAATAATACTAGTGACACTTACTGAGTTTTTATTAAGTATAGAGACGTACTGAAGATTGGGTATGTATCATTACATTTTATCCACTAACTACACACATAGGTATGTATCCCCATTTTAAAAATCATGGAAACCGAGCCTCAAAGGATTAAGGGTCCTCGCTGAGCTGGGACTCTTGTTTATCACTGCTGCCTTTAGCCCAAAGCCTGACCCCTAGTCCATAACCTGGCTGTTGCAATGAGAACTGGGACTTGGAGTGTCACCAGGACGAGGGCCCGCCCCTGCCACCTGAACACCGCAGCACTGGGCAAGCAGCCCCTAGTTGCCAGGCCTGGTGACCACATTTCCATGTGCAAGTCACTTTAAAATTATAGAAAATTAGTGAATTAAAAAAAGTATGGCCATAGACACAGGTTCTGACACCAGCTCTGGCTCAGTGCTAGACTTAGCTGGCGCGGGGTTGTGGGTTGGGGGGCGGGGGGGTGGCTGAGGCACCGATGGTTCTGCTGTCAGTGAGGCCCCGTGAGGAAGATAAGCTGAGTGAGGAGAATTAGGACACTGAGGATGCAGGGGAAGGATAGGTGCTTTCCCAAGAGTACCTCTGGCTAACGAGATGGAAGTCACACACCCCCGCCTGACCACTTACTGGCCAGGAGGCTCTGAACCCAAAAGCTAGAGAACAGGCCTCTGTGACCCATGGTAATTGCAGGGAGAAGAGGTTGCCCCCAAGCACACCCAGACCAGCAGAAGGGAGCTAGATGCTGGGGTAACATGGTGTCAGAGGTACCAGGGAAGAACTGTGGGTGTTTGGAGAAAGGAAGACTCACTTCTAGCCAGCAGCAATCAGGAATCTGTGAGTAAAACCTCGCAAAACGGTACGATTTGAAAGTGCAAAGAAGGAAGGTTCCCAGGTGTTGCCCCAACCTGGGCAAGGCAGGGAGGTGCCAGGTGCACCCATGCCGTTGGCCGGAGCTCAGGGGGAGCAGGGTCCAGAGTGAGGGGTGAGCTGAGGTCGCACCACCCAGAGCTTTGAATGCCTGGCGGGAGGAGCTTGGCATTCCGCTTGATGCCTGCCAAGTAGGGAGTGTCCTGTGAGTCGCCAGCCAGGAGTCCTCGTGTCTGGGAACCGAAGTCAGATCTCTGTGGGGGAGTCAGGTTTGCACAGAGCTCTCCCAGGCAGCCCCACCCAGACTGCCCGCCACACCCCGGGCCGCTGCAGCCTGGCTCTGGCTCCACTGGCAGAGGAGCAGCTGCCAGGCACCAGCTGTGGTATCAATGCCCAGTTAAGCCCAGCCTGCCTGACTCAACTTCTCTGAGACTCAGCTTGTCTGACTTTCCATTCCCTCACTTACAAAAATGGAGATAAGAAGACCTACCTCCTGGGGTTGTGTAAAGACTCAGAGGTCGGTGCTGTGTGCCTGCTAAGTGCCCAGGAAATAGTACCCTTCCCATGTGCCTCATTCTAGATTCATGGACCGCAAATTCCCCTAATTGGCCCAGGGGTCCCAATCAGGTGCAGTTGGCATTTATGCCCAGTTTTGCTGCCTCATCGTCATCTCCACTTCTGACAATTGGCTTCCCACCTGCAGGGTTACTCTCCTGCCCCCCACGAAGCTTGGGAGGCGTGGAGAGGCTATCTCCAAAAAGCCCTTCCCCACGGGCAGGATCCCACCCTGACTCGGCTGGGCATCCGTCCTCCTCACTGCTTCTCCCTCAGGAATGACCTGTGGCTGGGCTGCTGGGGTGGGCTCCCAGCCTACCCCAAGATGGGAACATAGGGTGCCTGGCCTTTAGGTGTCTCTGTGAGGGGGCAGTTCTGCAACACTCCTGAGTGGAGAAAATGCCCCTCCCCTCGCAGATGACATCAGATCCAGTCCACAGAGCCACGTGGGGCCCAGAGGCAGGCTCAGTGCTCTGGTGCCAGTTGTTTCCGTTTGGGCCCTGGAAGCTGACCCCAAGTGTCCCCTTGGGGTCCCCTCTTGGACATCATGGATAGGTCTCTCTAACTGCCATTTATTAAGTGCTCATGACACTGGGCCCTGTGCTGAGTCCTTGGACACCCTGGAGCCAGGTCCTCTTGTCCTCATGACAGCCTGCCTGGGTTTCAATCCAGTTCTGGCTTATCAAGCTGAGACTTCTTGTCCACACAAAGGCTTGCCTTAAGGACTAACCGAAGTATCAAAGCAAAACCCATCGTTGGTACAGCGACTCCAAGCAATAGAGGTCCATGATTATTGGTGCAGGGTAGTAGAAAAATAATGAATGTTGCGTCCCAGCCCTGTAAGTGGTAAGCACTGGACAAAGTTGGGACACACAGGAGGTGTCAGAAGGCTCCTGTTACCTGCTGACTTGGGAGCACCACAAGACGAGCCTTTCATTACAGGTGGAAGAAACTTTTGATTGAGGATAAGGCCGAAACTGATCTCATTGATTATCTGCTGGGAGGTGCAGGAAGAAGAATAGAGACTTTCCCCTTCCGCTTTCGTGACATGCCGTATGCGAATAGTACCTATTCCAAACAAAATCAATACTCAATTTCTTTAAAATAATTTTTTAAAAGAGCCCTTTGTGCTAAAGGGAAGAGAATGGAGAACCTATGGGGAGGGGAACTAAGAGTGGAAAGGGGTGCCCACAAGAGCAGCAGACCAGTGGTTCCAAGGTTCAAGCCAGGAGACTGTCAAGAAGCAAATTCCTGCCCCACCCCCAGCACACTATGCAGCCATAGGTCTGAGGAGTAGTTGGGGCGTCTGCATTCATCTTCTTCTTCTTTTTTTTAATAATATAATAGTTTACTTTTACATCACTTTGTGCATTTTTTCATCTCAGTTGTAATCCCCATGGACTTCCTATTACCAAATCACCCATGTGCCATCACCACAGCCCAGAGTCAGCATTCTTAAGGAGTTTCCCCGATGTATCTCATAGTGGCCCAAGCACCGTGGACTGCAGGTCCTGGGGTGACCAAATGACAACCCCAAGACCCCCCAGCTTCCTCTTCCCATGTGGATTTCCTCTTGCAGGGATGGCGTTCCGTACTGCGAGTCCGACTACCACTCCCAGTTCGGCATTAAGTGTGAGACTTGTGACCGGTACATCAGCGGCCGAGTCTTAGAGGTGAGTGGCTACAAATAACTGTGAAGGGCTTTGAGAGGGTGGCTGAACCCCCAAAAGTCGTCACTGAGGAAGGAGGAAGTCACCACACACCCCTTCTACCATAACCCCTATCAACCTGCTTCCTCTGCCTCTGTTTGACTTCCCGTATGACCTTGAGCAGACAGACTCATCCCTCTGGGCATCCCCCAAATAAGAAAGAGGAAAAAAGCACTCCCAGTTCAGAATACTCTATATTTCAGTTGCTTCTCTACGTTCAGACTCAGTTACTGGTAAGTGACAATTATGATTTTCTTCCCAGCCCTGTGAGAGGGTAGAGTGTCATTTATTTTTTAAGCGGTCTGTAATGCGCTGATTTAAGAACCAGCTTGTCTAGCAGCTTGCTCCCTGAGCCCTTCTTTGGCTGGCCCATCACCATGGCAACAGCTCTCCTCAGCCTGGTGCTCAGCTGGCTCTTCTGCCAGCGACAGACAACCTAGCACCCTGGCTGAGACCACACACCCCCCACCACAGCCTGCCTGGCCTTCCTTCCCACACCCCATATACCCAAAGCAGTCTCTACACTTTGGTGACCACCCACCTTGAGGAATTTGAAACAAGAAAGAATTTGGTGGGATGGAGAAACAGCCCATGAGTAAAAACAGTGGGCACTAATATCAACTCAGCTGCTAACTCGCCTAGTTTTGGGCTGAGTATCTTTCTCTCTGGGCCTCGGCTTTCCCAGCCCAGGGACCAGCTCTTGCAAGCAGAACCACAAGTTCTGACAAATCTGGCGGATGGCGTTCAGGGGAGCCAGTGCTGTGTTGAGGAGTCTGCCACATCTCATCGGTGGAGAGTGTGGCTGGGGACTGGACCCTCAGGACAGGCAGGACCCTGAGTCTGCCTGTGAGGATGTGGCTGGCCAGGGGCTGGAGGGTGATAGGGCTTGTCACATTCACGGGAGAGGAAAAGGCCAGTGAAACTGAACTCCCAGATGAAGGACGAGGGGCCCTGGGGGTACGAGTATCCAGAGGGCATGTCACATAGGGCTTTGTGGAATCATCAAGAGCTGAATTTTATGGAATGTTCATTAGCAGCCATGAGAGAGTTTTTTTTTTTAATTTATTTATTTTTTACTACAAAGTTTATTTTTACATCATTTTGCACATTTTTTTTTCCATCTCGATTGTAATCCCCGCGGGTTTCCCATCACCAAATCACCCCTGTGCCACCACCTTAGTCCCGTGCATTTCCCTCCCTTCCCCCCCGTTTTTGATCCCATTCCCCACTCCACCCCCACAGAATGTCTCTGGTATATGGTTGTTCATTATTTTTGTTAATTTCTCGCCTGGTCCATTATACTCCTGCTATGAGTGAAACCATCTGGTATTTTTCTTTCTCTTTCTGGCTTATCTCACTAAGCATGATCTTTTCCAGCTCCATCCAAGTTGCTGCAAAAGACATGTGTTTCTCTTTTTTGGTTGCTGAGTAATATTCCATTGTATATATGTACCACATCTTTCTAATCCAGTCATCTACTTTTGGGCATTTGGGCTGCTTCCATGTTTTTCCAATTGTAAATAAAGCAGCAATAAACATGGGGGTACAAGTATCTTTTTCAATCAGTGCTTTTGTGTCTTTTGGGTAGATACCTAGGAGTGGGATTGCTGGGTCGTAGGGAAGCTCCATGTTTAGCAGTTTGAGGAACCTCCAAACAGTTTTCCATAGTGGTTGTACTAGTTTGCATTCCCACCAGCAATGCAGGAGAGTTCCTTTTTCTCCACATCCTCTCCAACATTTGTTGTTGCTAGTTGTTTGAAGATGTGCCATTCTCACTGGGGTGAGGTGGTATCTCATTGTGGTTTTAATTTGCATCTCCCTTATGATGAGTGATGTTGAACATTTTTTCATATGCCTGTTGGCCATCTGCATTTCCTCTTTGGAGAAGTGTCTTTTTAGCTCTACTGCCCATTTTTTGATGGGGTTGTTTACTTTATTTAGCCATGAGAGAGTTTTAAGTCAAGGAACGAGATGATACAATTATGTTTTTGAAAGAGTATAAGGATTCAGAAAGCAAGGTAACTGCAGAGTGACCATCTGTGGATTTTTCACTGTGGACAATGGAATAGGATGTGGGGACAGAACCTGGGGCTAGGAAGTGCCTAGCAGGAGTGGCCAGCTGAGAGCTGCACCTGCACCATTGGAAGGATAACATGATGTGTGGGGACTGACCTGACAGGAAAGAAGCCCAAGGCGGGAGGCCAGTGAGGGCCATGACCCTCAGGAAGGACTCAAGGGCCTGGTCGTCGTGGTTAGGGCACCCCACCTCCCTCCAGCATGACAGAGTGCAGTTCCAAGAGGTCTGCAGTTGTAGGGAATTGAAGGAGCCGAGGCCAGAGCCTCAGGCCCAAAGGTCAAAGCCTGGTGTCGTCATGAATGGAACTGAACAGTAGACGCTGGGCAGAAAGATGGCGACTCCCATTTGGAATGGGTTGCGATTGAAATCCCATGAAGGCGTCAAGAAAGCACTCTCAAAACTGTGGGCAGCCAGGAGCACAGGTGTGGTTGAGGGGCCCTTCTCAGAAATACTAGGATTTGAATAATAGCAGCTCGTGAGCGTCATCAGGAGAGGAGGGGAAGGGGCCACAGACAGCCCTGGAGAATGACTTCCAGGTGACTGAGGACAGTGAGGAGTCACCAGAGAAGGAAGCAGTGCAGTCAGGGTCCTCGGGGAGGAAGGGAAGAGCAGCAAGAGGAGGGACTTGAGAAAAGATGGGCGTCTGGCAGAGAGGACCGCTGGGCTGCCACAGAGCTGAGGACCATGCAGGCTGTGAAGGAAAGGCTATATATAGGGTGTGGGGGAGCTCCCTTCTGAGCAAAACCTGCTGGGTCTGCAGAATTGGAGGGGAGAGGCATCCAGATTGTACGGGGGAAGGGTCAGTGGGCCAAGAGTTTCTAACAGCAGACTTTTCTCTCAAAGGGGGAAAACTTGGATTGCACACAGGGCTGCAGCTGGGAATGGTCCCGGTATTTCCAAGCCACTCTGAAATTATGTCAGCAGTGGCCATTTTCCCCCCGCGTGGAGCTCTTGTTTAACATCATGGGGGCTTTTCCTCCCCGGCAGCTGTTGTGACTGGGTTTCGATTCATTCCATTTGTACGAGTCTCCATTAGCATCTTGGATAAAAAAAAATATTGATTTTTTTTTTTCCATAGAGCTGGAAGAGACTTTTAGCAATCAACTAGTTCACTCTCCTCGTTTGACAGATGAGAAAAGTGAGACCTGAGACATAGGATGCTTTTCCAAGGTCACACCCAGTATTTCTGGTGGAGACCTAGCTCGGATCTAGCCCCGCGTCCTGGATCTCATGCCACTGCCACGGCTCTCAGCCACGGAGGGGTGTTTGAGGTGGTGTGATGTCATGGAAACACAGGCCTGCAGTGAAGCAGACCTGTCCAGTGTTACCTTAAGCAAGGCTCTTTCCCTGAGTCTTAAAGTTTTTTCTATCTGTGGAGAATACAACTATTACTTAGCTCCTGATATTGGCATGACAATAGAAAATGTGCATGTTGGTCTCTGCCTCCCACCGCCACCCCCACCCATTCGTGACTGACCTTGTCATCTCCCGAGTGACATGAGCACTAAGAGCATCTCTTGTTCAAATATTTGGCCTTTGACCCTGGTTCCTGGCACAGGTTCCTGAAGCCCATGTAATTTCCTGGGTGATAGGATTGTCCTTTGTTCTGATGAGGCAGTTCTGAGAGGGGCCCAGGCCTGGCCATGACTGGAAGCTCAGAATGTTCAGCCCACGTCCCCCAGGGAAGGGAGAGGACTGAAGGTTGAGTTCATGGCCAAACACACCTGCATGAGGAGGCCTCCATAAACTGCCCGCAGGCACCAGGTTGGGGGGTTTTCTGTTTGAGTGACCACGTGGAGGTGCTGGGAGGTGGAGAAGGAGAGAGCAGGGAAGCCCCATCCCCACACACCTGTCCTTACAAATCTCTCATCTGGGTGTTCATCTGTGTCCTTTGTCAAATCCTTGTATGATAAACTGGGGAACATGGCTCCTGAGTCCGGTGAGCCATCCTAGAAAATTATGGAACCGGAGTTGGGAGTTATGAGAACCCCAAGAAGTTCAGGTGACAACCTGGGACTTAGGCTTAACACTGAAGTGACGGGGCTGGTAGGAGACTGAGCCCTTATCTGTGGGGTCTGCTCCTCGCTCCAGGTAGACAGTGTCAGACTTGACTTAAACAGTAGGAAAGCACAGCTATTACTTTAGACCTAGTGGGAATTAAAAAAGTCTGCTGTAGCAGTGCTGTGGGTGTGAGAATGAAAGACACATGCGTTTCTGCTCCGTAGTTAGCCGGGATGGTTTTAGTTACTGGTAGAGAAACTACAGATTGGAATGGCTCAGGCCAGAGTTGTTAGGCCCCACGCACAGCTGGGTGCAGTGTTCACATGCACTTGGAATATCTCATCGCCTCAGTTCTACTCTCTCCTATGTTGGCTTTACTCTCAGGAAGGCCCTTCTTCATGACGGGCAGTTTGGACACTAATGGCTCCCAGGGACACCCTATCCAATGGGAAGAGAGCTGCTTTTGTCTAATATATCAGCAGACAACCTGGGACTGCCCCGCTGGCCTACCTCGGGCCCTCCTCTGACCGAGTCGTTGTGACCATAGCGTCAGGTGGCGCCCATTGGTGAACTGAGCTCTGGTTGCCTGCGTGGGCTAATCTGGGACTAGGTCGTCCCTCCCCCTCAAGGCTGGATGCTGTTCCTGGAAGGAGGAGGAAGGGTGGTGGCCAGACAGAAACAGCAACTGGCCACTCAAGGCCCAGCCAGGTACACACAATAGATCCTTAATTAAATGCCACTTCCCTTTCCCACTCCCAGGCCACCCACACACAGTCCCTCCCTCAGTGACAGTTAACATGCTGAATGCCATTGACTCTTCTTCCTTCCCTGTGTCCTCGCCAAGGAAAACCACAAAACCGATGCCCTTGAGCTGCTTTTTCTAGCCTTGCTGTGGTTCTCAGCCTGTGCAAATGGCCCCATTTTCCAGATTCTTTCCTCCGTCTATTCTCTGGACTTCATTTTGTCTCACTGACTCAGTTTCCCTTCTGCCGGCTGGCAGAGGCTGCTCTAACAGCCTGTCTTCCTTACAGTTATTTTCAACGCCCCCTCCTGCTCTTCCCTCCTAGGCCAGGGGTGCTGAGATGGCATAAAGCCTCTTTAAGCAGGGGTGGGGGGTGGTGGGGTGTGACATTTATAAAGATGCCAAGCTTCAGTTTTGTCAGGGTGCTGGTGCCACCCTGGAAAACAGATCTATAATTGAAATGATAAAAAGATACAAAGTAGGAAGAGGCTACTAATTAAGCTGATTATCCTTGTCAGGGTACAAGGGAATCAGTCCCATGATACTGCAGCTTGGGAAAAGAGTAACTTCCTTCCAAAGTTTGTACACAGTTTGCTTGGAGGATGATAAGGACATGTTATCATTGGTGGGAGCCACACACACAACCGTGACTGGAAAAAAAAAGAAGAAAAAAAGAGGGATTTGGAGAGATTTTTTCTTTTTTAAAAAAATCTACCCTTTCCACATTCTTACTAAATTCTTAGAATAAATCAAAGGTCTCCAGAATAGATAAGCCCATACCCAACCCACCCCCAAAATAGTGTGCAAATAGACTTTATGCAATTATAATTCTTTTTTTTTTTAAGATTTATTTATTTGTGCACACAGTACTGGGGTACAGGCCAGAGGCTCAGGGGCGGCGAGAGTGGGGAGCAGAACAGGCAGACTGACGAAGTACACTGCTGAGGGGAGCAGTGGGCCGGTCAGGAGAGGTCTGCCGGGCCATTGGGTCACCTCCAGGGCAGGCGGGGTTTGAGCTCATGTTGAAGTGGCTTTAGTTTCTCAGTGCTGTGCTTTAGCCCGCTGCGCCACCAGGGAGGGCCTGCAATTATAATTCTTATGAATTAGATGGAACCCGTTGGCATCAGACCAAGTAATCACTTGGGCCTGGGGACACCTTTAGCAAGCCCCAGTGTCCATCACTTTCCCCTAGGTGGACCCACCTACTCCCCAAACACCCTGCTTTAACATACCAAATCACCTTCAGAGCAGGCCCGACCTTCCAACACAATCACTGCTCCAAGCACTTCCCATACAGACTCTGGCTGCCACTGAGGGCCGTTGGGTCAGGTCCCCAAGGCTGGACCTCAGACACAGCATCAGCCACAAGGAAATGAGCAGTAGCCAGGCTGGTGAGTGGCTGCAGGGGCCAGCTAGCATTTCTGCTGACCTCTGCAAGCCCCTGAGGCAGATCTCTGAAGTGCTTCTGACCCTTATGGAGGAATCTGCTGCTGCCTGATAATTACGTGTTTACTAGATAATGGTAGGGAAGAAAGTGGGAAGAGGGAAGAGAGCACCCCAAAGCCAGACTGAGAAGGGCTGGGGGGAGGAGGAGGCCAGGACTGGAGGCATCCAAGCACAGCAGAGACTGACTTGGAGTTCAGAGGCTCCACAACAAGTTCTAACTTTGGGCCCCATTATTAGTTCACTGAGCCCTAAAGTTCTGCATCCTGAGATATTCTGACAGTTTTTTACCCTATCTGTGAACTCCATGAACCCATTCTTTTTTTTAAAGATTTATTTATGCATACAGAACTGGGGTTCAGGCCAGAGGTGCAGGGGCGGTGAGAGGATTCATCAGAGACAGAGTGGGGAGCAGAAGAACAGGCAGATTAGCAAAATACACTGCTGAGGGGAGCAGCGGAAAGGTCAGGAGAGGTCTGCTGCATCTTGTGGGTCACCTGGGGGGCGGGGGGAATCGAACTCATGCTGAGGGGGCTTTAGCTCCTTAGTGCTGTGCTTTAACCTGCTGCGCCACCAGGGAGGGCTCGTGTACCCATTCTTACCTAATCCTTTCGTTGACTTCTAGGTCATCTCACTTTCATATAGAAAATTTACATCAGGGAAACCAGGACCACTTGCTATATTTCCAGTAAAAAAAAAAAAAAAAAAAGAATAAATAGAATTTTAGCTAAGTCTTATTACTTCTAGGAGTTCCCACCTGATCACCTGATCTTCCTTAAAAGGTAGATTGGTGAGTTTGGGGTAGATGTTAAAGATACAATGGCATCAAACTGGTACTTTCATCTTGAAAAAAATCAGAAGACTTGACTGAGGCTGGAAAACGAGACTTTGTCCTCACCAATCTATTGTTATTACATCCTGGGTCCACGTCCCACTTAAAATCAACTCAAGTGTCATCAGTGCTGAAGGCCTTCTTAGGGAAATGCTGGGTATCCTCAAAGCAAAGATTGTCCTCCCATATGGAAATGAGATTGGATTGGTGGTCTCAAAGGGATAGAATAGAAGGGAAAGTGTCAGAGTTTGCAGATGTGGTGTCCTCAGGCTTCCCAGTGGCCTGGTGGTCTGGACACCCTCTCAGGGCCATGAGACACCAGTAACACTGACGTGCCCAGGGGTGACCACACGAGCCTGCCCTCGCTGACCGCGACTCTGACTGCCTGTTTCATCTTCTCATTTCCACAGGCAGGAGGGAAACACTACCACCCAACCTGTGCCAGGTGTGTCCGCTGCCACCAGATGTTCACAGAAGGGGAGGAGATGTACCTCACGGGTAAGCCTACCTCTGGAAGTCCTCTGTAGCCGCCCGTGACTGGAGAGGAGATCCAATCTCCTTCCATTTCAGTGTTAGCTTTGCTTTTGGCTTGGCCTCAAAATTGCAATTAATTCACCCCTCTCTGGGTGGTTCGGGAAAGTTGCCGGTGTGGCTAATATGAAGTGACATGTCATCTGCCTTCTGTCCCTGCACGCCTCCACCCACTGCTTGGCTGGCCAGCTTCCCTGGCAGTGCTTTGAACAGTCTCCCCGATTCTGCCTGGGAGGTGGAGGTTGAGTTGCATGGGGCCAAGGAGTCAGAGGATCTCAGATAGACGCCTGCTATAGGGTCACCAGCTGCCACACCCGCCCCCATTTCGAAACTTGAGCCCCTGAGATTGCAGACCAGAAACCTGGGTCACACATGGACTGCCCAACAATTGCAGGATGCCACAAATGGCACGAAGGTGTCTTGGGCCCCACCACTTGACTTTGCACTTGGTTTGAAAATGTGTCACCTGACATTCCTCCCCCCAAGCCCCCACCCCAGCTGAGCATATTTTCCTAGTGTTGAAACTGCTCTGAGATTCAGTGAACACCTATAACTTCCTGTTGGAATTCCCAGTCCTAATCCCTCCCCACTTGGTGCTTTGGCCCAGAGTTGAATCCTGGCTCCTCTACTCTCTAGATGTTCAACCTCAGGCAAGTGTCTGAACTCTTGACCTTGGTTGGCTGGTCTGTAAAACAGGCCCTATAATGTAGAGGTTCAGTAATTGCCCAACACTGGGAATGTCTGTGGGACCCCACCTGCGTGGGATGGATACATCTCCACCAGCAGGAGATGGAGTGTGAGCACGTCACACACGTCCCTGCCCCCATGGAACTCAGCCTCATGCGAAATAGTCTTCCAAGCCTGGCTTCTGACTGGAAATTCACACCAGGCTCAAAGAGCGAAACCATGACGGGAATGACTTTGTGATCGTGAGCACACATCATCAAACCTGCAGCAGCAGTGCCCCGGGAGGTGGGAGATATTCTTGGTAAAGGAGAAGGGCCTGTCACCCTCCTCCTTAATTATCCCTGTTCCCACCCTCCCAGCTCTCGGGAGAGTGGGAGTAATTGCAGGGCCTTCAAGGACCTGCCTGCAAGGGTGCTATGTGATCCTGGGAGGAGGGGGCCCGAGCCATCCGACGCTGGAGTCATTGGGGACTCAGGTTGTGGGCGTCTTGGGGGTGGCCCTGGGGTGATGGTCTGCTAAGGCGCAGTCCTGGGCCGGTGGTTTCCTTGGACACCCATCCTGGAGCAGGTGCACAGGAGCTGAAATGATGTCCCCCAGGAACAGCCAGAAAGCCCTCCTCCCGAGCCGCACCAGAGAGTAAGAACCAGCTGAGAGGCAGGGCTCCTGGGTCCACACATGACCCTGAGAAGTGACACCCTTAACTGAGCCCCTTCCTTCGCCTGGAAAATGAGTATAATTGCACTGTCTGTGATCCATCCATTCAAACCTAGGCCATGCTGGTCCCTGGCTCTCTGGGTGTCCTGTGAAGAACCAGGCCTGATGCCTGCTTCTGAGGAGTGCATTCGCGGGAGGGGGAGACTAACTGTAATCAAAAAGAAGTGGAAACATTCATTGGCAAGCTGTGTAGGGAGTATGGAAACTACGGGAGTGTCTCCTAAGGCTCCAGTGTCGTCTGGGAGGCCAGGGAAGCTCTAGCTGAAGGAGGGACAGTTCAGTTGGGATCTTGAACATGAGTAGGAGGTGGGAGGGGAGAGTGTGGAGCAGAGAGGAGAGCAGTGCGTAGGCCCACAGAGGGAGGGTGCGTGGTCTGGGGGAGAAACCGAGGCAGGCCCACATGGCCAGCTCAGAGAGCAACAGAGATGAGCCCCGGGGGGGGGAGCATGGATGTGAATGTGCCTAGGCCCCTCAGAGCAACACATGGCAAAGGGGGGGAATTGAGAATCTGCAACTCTTAGAAACGACTCTTGCCGGTTCCTTAGCAGAACACAGCTTGGAAGTGGCTGCTAGTCCCAGGGAGGGTTTGCTAGTCAGTGTGTTTGTTTTAATTGGTGCATGATGGCTTTCTGAGGGACTCTAACTGGGAGAGAAGTCTAAAGTCTGTCTGGGTGAGAACTTCGAGGCCCTGGGAGACCAGAGCAAGTTCTCTTTGTTTGAAGTTTTGTTGTGCATTCAGTCTCTTAACTGTTTTTTGCAAAGACGCCAGATTTCTAATCTGCTTGTTGCCCAAACCCTTCATTTGGGCTTCACCAGGAAATTAGGTCACTGATCTTGTGCAGCAAAATATTGGTCACACCGGCCAGATTCAGGGCAAAACTGAGGTGGAAATCACTAAGGTTACATTTGCTGCATCAGTGGGTGCATCTGGACCCCAAATGTTTCTCACGAAATAGAATTTCCTCAATTCTAAATGCGCCTTTCCCCAGGAACAGTGAAAGAGCCTTTTTTCTTTCCCCAGTCCCTATGTTGAGTTGTAAGCACAGTGTATCATTTTATCCTCACATCTGCCCTGCGAGCTAAAAGTCAGGAATGGGCCCATTTTAGAGTCCCTGGGGCCGAAGTCAACCTGCCTGTCCAGCTAGGATTTGTTTCAGACATTTTTCTTCTCTTTGTTGTTGGGATTCTTACCCTGTGGTTCATTGCTGGTCTTCTGAGTTCTGTGAACCCCCTATTTACCAAATTTGGTGTGTAGGGGTGTTTCTCTAAGGAGAGGATATATCACTTTAATCCAATTTTTAGAAGTATCCAAGAGTGAAGATCAAGTGGAAAAACTTAACTCTGGATGAATCTCATCAATCCAATAGAAACAGCCCTGAATGCTGCTTTGATCAAAGACCTTTGTATACATGAGTTTACTTCAGGTCACGTAATTTTCTTCCACTCACACCACAGTAGGTCCTGGGGCCTACTGTATCTTTCTGGTGCAGCTGAGGGACAACTGCTATTTCACTGAGGCCTCATTTTTCTCAGACAAGTGCCCTCTAAGGGGGCACCATGCTCACAGATGTACATGAGGGAGCCCCCATTCTTACAAATGGTGGATCACTGCCCTTAGAGAGACCTACGCCTCTCCTCAGACCTCCATTTAAGAGATGCTAACATAGAGCCCTCCCTGATGGCACAACTAGTTAAAACGCAGCACTGCAAGCTAGACACAGCCGTTTCAGTGTGAGTTCTATCCCCAGCCCCGGAGGTGACCCACATGGCACAGCAGACCTCTCCTGACCTGCCCGCTGCTCCCCTCGGGAGTGTACTGCCCCCCATTCTGCTCCCCACTCTGTCATTGTCAATCCTCTCACTGCCCCTGCACCTCTGGCCTATATCCCAGTTCTGTATGCATAAGTAAATAAATCTTTTTTAGAAAGTTATAAAAAAAAAAAGAGAGAGAGAGAGAGAGATGCTAACATGACACCATGTTGCCTGGTATAAATTGAGTAGCTTTGCATTATTTTAAATGGGATCTCTTTACTGACAGCTTAGGTTGTAGGAGTTATGCTTTAAAACTTTAAATATTATGTTTCCCCAACCCTGCTATATAATTTTAGACTCTTCAAAATATCCTGGTAGTGTTCTGAATTGCTATTTCCTCAAGTCTGAAGCCAATAAGCTTATTTCATTTTTAAAAACAGTACATTTTAATTTTTGATGAGCTGTATTTTTTTTTATTTTACATCTATTTTACATCATTCTTCCTTTTTGTACAATGTATGCTTTCTCCTCTCAGGTGTGGTCCCCTTATAATTCCCACCATCACCATTGTCCCCGTGTCCTCTCCCCACCCCTGCTTTGATCCCTCTCCTTCCCCTCCCCTGCAGTGTCTCTGATTTAGAGTTGCCTGTTGGTTTTGTTTTCTGATTTATTATAATTTATTTTTCCTGATTCCTTATTTGGTTTTCCTAATTCCTCCTATAAGTGAAACCATCCAGGATTTTTCTTTCTTTCTTTTTCTTCCTGGCTTATTTCACTGAGCAAAATCCCTTCCATGAGCTGCAGTATTTTATAAGTATTTAGGGTTATCACACACCTTGGGTCATGAAGAAAATATTACAGTGTCATTTTTGATGGGTTGCATAAAGTCTCTCATCTCACCCCTCTCAAGTCACCACGAACTCAAGGTGATGGGGCCACTTCCTTGCCAGTTACATGTCACATTCACTTCACTGACCAATTTGTCCATGTTGGTCAGAATTAGGTTCTGAGTAGCAATTTCCCTGGTTGCTTCCTCTATTTTCTGGGAAACAGAATTGCCTGGGGGTAAGTCAAGAACTTGTCACATACTCAGGTTTTAGCTCAATGAGATGTTTTATTAGTCTTGACTTTTTAGGTGACAGAAACCCAGCTCAACCCACATTAGGTGAAAGGGGATTAATTGGCTCACAGCACCGAGAAGCATCTAGAAGCAGCAGGGCTAAGTGGAGACCCCCACAGCACCCAAAAGTGGTTCTTCCTCCTGCTGCTTTTAAGATGTGGCCTGTATGAGAGCTGTCCAGGGGGCAAAGGGCATACCTGCCCTCCACTCCATGGATACAAAGGGAATATTCCCTGCAAGGGACCATGGCCCATGCCAGGAGGTCACAAATGGCGAGCGGGCAGGCAAGACATTGAAGCCCCCGAAGCCCCATTTCCCCTTCTGAGCATGGATAGCAGTAGGCCACCTCACCAGGCTGTTGTGAGAATTAAATGAGCAAATGCACATGAAGGGTTTAGCATAGTGCCTGGCACTGCCAGCTCTGGCATCTGAGCTCATGATAAATGCCCCATCATGGAGAAATGACCATCCCCATGGTGCCAGGCTGTAGTAACTGCTGCCTCCTGTCAATATTATTGTTAATAACACTTACCATAGGTCTCAGCGCACATGCTCCATCAAAGTGAGTTAGCAGTGCTGTATTTTTCTTAAATGCTGTTGTTATCAAGAGCACAGCATATCAAGAGCCTAGCACAGACATTCTCTAAACATTAATTATTATAGCAACAATAAGAAAGATATGAACTCTAAGTGC